CCGCGCCGAATGGGCCCGGGCGGCGCCGCGCGAAATGGGCCCGGGCGGCGCCGCGCCGAAATGGGCCCGGGCGGCGCCGCGCCGAAATGGGCCGGGCGGGCCGCGCCGCCGCGCCGAAATGGGCCCGGGCGGCGCCGCGCCGAAATGGGCCCGGGCGGCGCCGCGCCGAAATGGGCCCGGCGCGGGCCGCCCGCGGCCCGGCGATGGGCCCGGGCGGCGCCGCGCCGAAATGGGCCCGGGCGGCGCCGCGCCGAAATGGGCCCGGGCGGCGCCGCGCCGAAATGGGCCCGGCGGCGCCGCGCGCCGAAATGGGCCCGGGCGGCGCCCGCGCCGAAATGGCCCGGCGGCGCCGCGCCGAAATGGGCCCGGGCGGCGCCGCGCCGAAATGGGCCCGGCGGCGCCGCGCCGAAATGGGCCCGGGCGGCGCCGCGCCGAAATGGGCCCGGGCGCCGCGCCGAAATGGGCCGGCGGCCCGCCGAAATGGGCCCGGCGGCGCCGCGCCGAAATGGGCCCGGGCGGCGCCGCGCCGAAATGGGCCCGGGCGGCGCCGCGCCGAAATGGGCCCGGGCGGCGCCGCGCCGAAATGGGCCCGGGCGCGCCCGCGCCGAAATGGGCCCGGGCGCCCGAATGGCCGGGCGGCGCCGCCGAAATGGCCCGGGCGGCGCCGCGCCGAAATGGGCCCGGGCGGCGCCGCGCCGAAATGGGCCCGGGCGGGCCGCCGCCGAATGGGCCCGGCGGCGCCGCGCCGAAATGGGCCCGGGCGGCGCCGCGCCGAATGGCCCGGGCGCGCCCGCGCCGAAATGGGCCCGGGCGGCGCCGCGCCGAAATGGGCCCGGGCGGCGCCGCGCCGAAATGGGCCCGGGCGGACGCCGCGCCGAAATGGGCCCGGGCGGCGCGCGCCGAAATGGGCCCGGCGGCGCCGCCGAAATGGGCCCGGGCGGCGCCGCGCCGAAATGGGCCCGGGCGGACTTATTCTGCAGAGAAGAAGAAGGTGAGCCTGCTCACTCTCTAGGCACTACTGCACTCATGCGGTCAAGAGACATTACCCCACTGTTTCCCAAAAACAACTACCTGGAAACCCCTCATAAACGTTCTTCTAATATGTAAATTCAAGGACATCAAGACTAGAAGGCTGCAAGGTCTAAAGACTCAACTGACAGAAATCACACAGACAAAAGCTCCACAAATATAACAAGCTGTCCCTAAACTTGAAACAGACTACCCCTTTCATGCCCACTGCTGCCATTTTCAAACACATGCTCACACCAGGAGCCTCCATCATACATTTCTCCTAAACCCTGCTCCATCACTTTGACAGCAAGGTTATGACTTTGATAAGATTTGACATAGATGCAAAGGCTCACAGAAAGCCCCGTAATTCTGCAAAAATCAGAAGGGACCCAGAACCAAAAAACACACAAAGTAACATCACCATACTATCCGTAAAACTGCTATAACAACTACTCACCTGAAGAAGAGTTGTGTGCAATACAGGCACCTACTACTAGATTGCTTTACAGTGACAGATCCTACCAGTTTTCACCTCAAAAAGATAGGAGTACCGAGTACCAGTTTCTACATCAAAACGCATCAGTCCATAGACTCTGACCCACCTAAAGAACCCTCCAAACAACTGAAGGAAAAACAAAGCACTTACCCAAAAGTGCAGCCCAGGCAGAAGGATCTCTCTCATGGCATACCTTCAACTCAGTTACCATTAGGTCCCACCTGGAACCTGAAGCCAATCACCTGGGAAAGTGCAGGGGGAAAGCATAAAAAAAGCAGAAAGAGGAGCAGCAGCAGCTGTGGTTTTATTAACTTCCTTATATGGCTTAGCTCCACAGCATGCAGAGTGCAGACAGGAGAAACAGAGAAACAGCATTCACTAGGACGCCAGCCCCATTGCTCACCTCCTCCAGAATGCTGACTACTACTGATGCAATATACGATTGTGCTCACGTGTTCCTCCCTGAGTCCAAGCTCCAACAGCGCAGACAGTACCATCCACTCCACCTGGGAAAACAAAGGGATTAAATGATCGTTGCGTTCACAACAAGTCAGCCAATGGTGTTTTTTGTTGTTGTTGTTTTTTGTGTGTGTATCCTGTATTTTTTTTTTTAAATCTGCCTTAGCTCAACAGCATGCAGAGTGCAAACAAGAGAGCTGGGGTATTTCTAGAAGAAACAATCCCCATGCTTTTGCTGCAGCTTTGAATATTAAAAGGACAATACGACCCAGCAAGTAACTGGAACTTTCTTAACTGGAATTAGCTCAAACTTTTATTTACATTGAAAGAAAAATCCAGGAGGAGAACAGATTATACACCAACAAAATTAATTCCATTCCATCCCCAGAAAAAAATCACATACTCTCATCCCCTCCCGTACCTCAGCCGCTGGCCTGCCCCACATGGCAGATGCTTCCATCTCTTCTCTTTACCCACTTATAGCACCTCTAAAAGGCAAACTGGAATTTTACTCTATTGGATGTAAGAAAATAACTGCACTGAGAACCGCACCCCAAAAATAACAGCTACCTCTGCTCATCACGCACCAGTCACTCCAGAGGCACCTCAGGTCATTACGTCCTGGACTGCACACTGCCTTTCAGCCTGAACAAAGGGAAACACAGTCACAAGATAATCATTCAGCTGCCAGCATTAGCACCCATCCCTCAACAACACAAAGGGACCCCATTTACAATATTATCATTTGAAAACATAAGCCCCCATACCTCAGCACCTCAGAAGGAGATCAAGTCAGTCACCGAGCTGCCTACGGAGTGCTGAACAGTTCAAGAAGGAGCTCTTTCTTGTGACAGGTTCCTCCAAAGGTTTACGCTCTACTGGGGACAGGATAGAAATAAAAATAAAAAATTCAAAACCCCATATCTGTAAGCTTTCAAGATTCGACAGACCTCCTCAAGCACACCGTTCAAGTGCTATGCAAGCACAGCTGCTCGCAAGCAGCTCAACTCTCCCACCCCCAACATCTGCCACACACCACAGAGATGACTGTGCCAGCTGCCCTTCAGTACGTGCCCAGAGGCAGACCGGATGTCTTTGCCAAAACAGTCCAGACAATGTATTAGCTCACCCATGACCTGCCACGTTAGCTGTCATCACTAACTGCCAGGCAGGGCAGCTCCAGACCAAACACATACATACACAGGCACGCCACAAACACTACAAACAAAACACACAACACTAGGCGCAAGAAAAAGTGACCCCCAGAGGAAAGCCCTACAGCAACAGCAAGTCAGAACAGGTGCTCTGCACCAGACCCTAGGAGAGACTCAAATGTCACGACACGCGACTGGAAGAACTGCCAGAACTGGGATGATGGAGGCCTAAAAAGCCTGCCTTCAAGACAAGAGACCAGAATGATGGGGACTGAGAAACCCCCTAAGAAGACATTTAGGAATTCGATTCCCAAGCAAGAGCTCCTGATGCGGCCCAGATGATTTCTGCAAGAGTGAGGATGGAAACAGACGCGATCTCAAACCGAATATGATGCACTTAGCTCTCAGGTTGCTGGATGGTAAAGTCCCTCCGCCTCAAGACATACACAGGCACCGATGGTCATCTTAGTCAACTGCCAGGCTCATCATCAGCTGCAAAAACAGAGTACCAGCTTTCACTAACACGCCAGCCATGATGCCCACCTGCTCCACAATGCTGAATAGTACTGATGCAACATACAATTGTGCTCACCTCTTCCTCTCCAAATCCAAGCTCTAACAGTGCAGCCAGTATCATCCACTCCACCTGGGACAACAAAGGGATTAAATGATCGTTGCATTCACAACAAATAACCCAATGGTGGTTTTTTGTTGTTGTTGTTTGTGTGTGTTTTTTTGTTGTTGTTGTTTGTTTGTTTTTTTTGAAATCTGCTTTAGCTCAACAGCAAGCAGACTGCAAACAAGAGAACTGGGCTGTTTCTAGAAGGAACAATCCCCATGCTTTTGCTGCAGCTTTGAATATTAAAAGGACAATACGGCCCAGCAAGTAACTGGAAATTGCTTAACTTGAAATAGCTCAAACATTTTTTTTTTATGTAGAAAGAAAAATCTAGGTGCAGAACAGATTATACGCCAAAACAATCAAACACCAAACAATCTTCCCTTCTCTTTGGATAAGGGATGACCAGGCTGACAACACTCACCTTCCCTCAGAGCTTCATGACATGAGGATTTCCCTTCCCTGTCCACGACTGCACAAAGCACCTGCAGAGACAAGAGAAACGCACACTCTGAAGCACCTCACAGCCACAGCGTACCTGCTGCAAGACCTCTCTCTTCCCAGCTTCAGTACTTCAGCTGCTCACCACCTCTGAGATTCTTTGCTCACAGCGCCACAGCAAACTCCTCCCGGGCTACACAACACACACTACACAAGCTACATAGCCCAACACACACAAGCTGGAACATTCCCGCCCAACAATCAGTTGCATCGCACAGGAAGGATGCTGCACACTCCGAGAAACCAAACCTACCAGTACTGAGCAGCTCCACGCATCCTCCTGCCAACCACACTCAGCACACACACTGTTTGCCCCTCAAAAAAAAAAAAAAAAAAAACTTTGAACATACACACAAAAAAGAAAAAAAAAACAACCGAGCTCCACAAATGCCAAAAAGACATGCACACACAGCAGCCCAGGCAGGGGTAGTTACAGACTTACCCTTTGCAGATGAAAGAGGTGACTCTGATACAACCCTGCTCAGTCTCTTGGTAATGCTGCATCTACACTGCCAAGCCACATGTAGCACGCAGTCAAGCTGGTTTTAGTCCTCTGGTGAGTTACAGAAGTGGGTTTATACATCTAGAGACTAAAATATAGCTCAAAAACAGAAGAGTATCCTACCATCCCAAAAAAAATAGTGAGCCAGCAGCCCCTACTAAACATCCCTCTACTAAGTGAATTCCAAGCACTTAAAATCCAGAAATCCATAGGCTCCAGTCTGCCTAGAGAACCCTGCAAGTGACTGAAGGAAAAGCAAAACACTTACCCCAAAGGGCAGCCCAGGCAGAATGAGCTCTCTGATGCCATGCCTGGGGCTCATATAGCATTTAGCCCCGCCCAGCACCCAAACCCAATCACCTGGGAAAGGGGAGGGGCAAAGCACAAGAAAGTAGGAAGAGAGCAAAAGAAGCAGCTGTGTTTTTTTTTCCTTTTTTTTTTAAAATCTGTTTTATCTCAAAAAAATTCAGAGAGCGGATAAGAGACCTGTGGTGTTTCTAGAAGCAAAAATCCCCTTTTGCTTTTGCTGCAGCTTTTAATGTTGAACTGATAATGTCACCAAGCAAGTAACTGAAACGTCTTCAACTGGAATTAGTTTAAACACGCTCACTGTCGTCTGCAAACACTGAGAACCAGCATTCACAAGCCCTAACCCTAACCCCTAACCCCAACCCTCACCCTAAACTCTAACCCTAGCCCCAGCCCTAGTTCCTGAGAACTTAATTTCCCGGTATGCTCCGGGCACGCAACATGGCCTCCCGGACGTTCGGAGTCCCAAAACTACATTTCCCGGTATGCTCCGGGCACCCAACATGGTCTCCCGGAAGTTCGGAGTCCCAGAACTACATTTCCCAGGATGCTCCGGGCACCCAACATGGCCTCCCGGAAGTTCGGAGTCCCAGAACTACATTTCCCGGTATGCTCCGGGCACCCAACATGGCCTCCCGGAAGTTCGGAGTCCGAGAACTACATTTCCCGGTATGCTCCGGGCACCCAACATGGCCTCCCGGAAGTTCGGAGTCCCAGAACTACATTTCCCGGTATGCTCCGGGCACCCAACATGGCCTCCCGGAAGTTCGGAGTCCCAGAACTACATTTCCCGGTATGCTCCGGGCACCCAATATGGCCTCCCGGAAGTTCGGAGTCCCAGAACTACATTTCCCGGTATGCTCCGGGCACCCAATATGGCCTCCCGGAAGTTCGGAGTCTCAGAACTACATTTCCCGGTATGCTCCGGGCACCCAACATGGCCTCCCGGAAGTTCGGAGTCCCAGAACTACATTTCCCGGTATGCTCCGGGCACCCAACATGGCCTCCCGGAAGTTCGGAGTCCCAGAACTACATTTCCCGGAATGCTCCGGGCACCCAACATGGCCTCCCGGAAGTTCGGAGTCCGAGAACTACATTTCCCGGTATGCTCTGGGCAGTCAACATGGCCTACCGAAAGCCTGGAGCCGGAAAACTATATCTACCAGAATTCCCTGGGCAGCCAGAATGGCCAATCAGAGGCCGAGTTTTCGAGAACTACATTTAACAGCACTCACTGTAGCCCTAGCCCTTACCGCCCTTACACAAAAAAGCCTCAATCCCTAACCCTAAAAATCCTCGAAACCTCGACAGACCTAACCCTAACTATTTACCACAGTAAACCCCTGAAGACCCATGCCTACAACCCCTAACCCAATAAATTAGGACGCTCAATTCCCAAACCCACAAAATTAAGATGCTCAAATCCCAAACCCAAAGAAATAGGACGCTCAAATCCCAAACCCCCTTCTGAAAAAGAAAAAGAAAATAAGAAAAAAAATCAAACAAAACAAAAACAACAAAAGGGGTAGACCTGGTGGCATCTGCCCTGTAACCCTGCAAAAATTACGAGGGACCTAGAACAACAAAGCAAACACACAAAATAACATTGACAACCTATCCATAAATGTGCTATAACAATTCATCACCTCCAAAGAGCTTCATGCAATAAATGCACATACTACAAGATTGGTTCTCTCTAAAAGATCGCACATGACTCTGACCCACCAAAAGAAACCTGCATGTAGCTAACAGAAGAATAAACAAAGCGCTGGGCGGGGCTCTATAACATTTGGCCCCGCCCAGCACCCAAACCCAATCACCTGGGAAAGAGGAGGGGGCAAACCACAAGAAAGAGAGCAGCAGCAGCTGTGTTCTTTTATTTATTTATTTATTTATTTTCCCCCTATCCCTAGTTTACAGCATGTGGAGTGCAGACAAAAGTACTGCAGTGTTCTATAGAAGCAAAATTTACCGTATTTTCACCTCAGCTTTGAACACAGAAAGGACAATACAACCAAGAAAGTAAATGAAATATTTTCAACGGGAATTAGCTAAACCTTTCATTTACATATGAAGAAAAATCAAGGACCGTAGGAAATTACACATCAAAAAAAAAGAGACGTAATAAGCAACGCGCATGCGTGCCCCCCGGCCGCCTGCAGTATCGCTTTCCCACCAGCATGTGGCGTAAGAGGGCGTCCGCGGGCGCCACCGCGCATGCGCGGCCCCCGGCCGCCTGCAGTACCCCTTTCCCACCAGGAGGTGACAGCAGAGGGCACCCGTGGGCGCCACCACGCATGCGCGGCCCCCGGCCACCTGCAGTACTCTTTCTCCGCCAGCAGGTGGCGGCAGAGGGCGCAGGCGGGCATCACCGCGCATGCGCGCTTCCCGGCCGTCTGCAGTACCCCTTCCCACCAGGAGGTGGCGGCAGAGGTCGCATGAACGGAAAGCACAAAAAAGCAAAAAGAGGAGGAGCAGCAGCTGGGGTTTATTTATTTATTTATAAGGCTTAGCTCAACAGTATGCAGAGTGCAGACAGGAGAACTGGGGTGTTTCTAGAAACAAAAATCTCCATGCTTTTGCTGCAGCTTTGAATAGTGAAAGGACAATACAACCAAGTAAGCAACTGATTTCTTTTTCCATCTGGAATTACCTCGATCTTTACTTACCGCCCTTACACATAAAAGCCTCAAGCCCTAACCCTAAAAATCCTCGAAACCCCTACAGGCCTAACCCAAACTATCTACCACACTAAATCCCTGAAGTCCTATGCCTCAAAGCCCTAACCCAAACACTTAAGACGCTCAAATCCCAAACCCACAAAATTAAGACGCTCAAATCCCAAACCCCCAAAAAATAGGACGCACAAATCCCAAACCCAACCCAAAATATTAAGACGCTCAAAACCCTAACCCAGGAGAACCTAACCTGAAACAAAAATTAAGATCTTAAAACCCTAACAGTAAATAACTGACCAAAAATAAAACCCTAAGAACCTAACCCTAAAAAACCTATCAACACTACAACCCAAAAAACTCTAAAACCCTAACACGCTAACCCTGAAACCCTTAAAACCCTAACCCTCAAATCCCTAAAATCCTAACCGTTAAAACTCCAACCCTAAAACTAAAAACCTTAAAATCCTAAACATAAACCCTGAGAACGCTTACCCTGAAACCCAACCCTAGTGCCCTATCCCTGAAACCTTAAAACTGTGAATCAATCTTTGGGAAATAACATAGGCTCAGGAGAGGATCTCAGTACAGTAGCATTTTTATTTGAGATTACAATGGCGGGTGTCCCGCAAGCAGGAGGGCGCCTACTAATTCCATACACAGTTTATATACTTTTTTTGTTTTCCTCCCAAGGACCAGGACCCTCCCGTTTCCCCATTAACTGTGCAATCCAGGTTCATACTCTATCTGGTGCTTCACAGAAAATACACAGCTGCTGGCCTGTTACAAGTCACGTTTCTTTTGAGGCTTTTACTCTTTGAGGTGGTAATGTTTCTTACACCGTGATTTCCACCTAATGGCGGTAAGGATTCTGGTTGTCTGCATTTTATAAGGTTGTCTGTTGTAATAAATGACTAAGTCCCAGATAGGATTACAATCAAAGTTTACAATTTATTAAATGAATAGAGGTAAGCAAACAGCACTGGGTGCGCTGGGAGTCTCTGCTCGACCAAGATGCACACAAATTACATCAGGCAGCTGTTTTTTATGCTCCTAGGCTAATACATATCCGTTACTACTTCTAGAAAAGGAGGGTTATTATAATTAGTTCCTGGAATCCGAACCCACCCACTGGTGCATGCGTTATCAGTCTCTGGTGGTCCCTCTGGGGGTCTCTCGTACTAAAGGCTCATAGTCTTCCTCCCAGGCTTTTCCCTTGTTCTTCTCCTTTGTCCATCTTGGCTGGATGTCAGAGACTTGCATAGTGCCCCATGCAATAGTCATAACAGTTAGCAGTTATTCTGAAACTCCTTTGTTCTCTTATCCCCTATTGACACGAATTACTGGACCATTCCTTTGCAAGATACAAAAACTATATACACTAACTGCTCTGTTTTTCTTAGACTTGTGTTTATACAAGGGTATGTAAGATAGAAGGTCACATTACATCATATCATGCAGCCCTAGCATTGTTCCATATTGACACAAATCAGATGAACACATTTCATAATCCCCCATCTCCTTTTTCATGGTATTGATTTGTGTTTTCCTTTCCAATCGAGTCAATGCTTGCCGAATTGTTATCAATTTTGGATCTTTGTTTGTTTTTATTATCATCAGAGAATGGGTTTTCTCTTTCCCTGGTTCTGGGTCAACAGGTACCGCAGATATTTGCATTCCTTGTATAACCGAGTGTATTAGTCCAGTAATACAAGGTATTAAATATGGAATTATTAACAATCCTCCACATATCCCCAATAAAACCATCCTTTTTTTAGCAAACCAATCACCGCCCATAAAGCCACCCCCCATAATCCTCCTAGTTTGATTCCATTACAAGTTTGAATTGGGACATATGCAAAGTTCTTCATTTCTTTTACAAGTTCACTTACAGCTTTTCCTTCTGTTGTGGTTTAACCCGGCCAGCAGCTAAACACCACACAGCCGTTTGCTCACCCTCCTCCCTCCCTCTATGGGATGGGGGAGAGAAACAGGAAAGTGAAGCCTGTGAGTTGAGATAAAGACAGGTAAATAATAATAACAGTAATAATAAAGACAATAATTATGATAATAGTACTACTACTACTGTGTATGAAAACAAGTGATGCACAATGCAATTGCTCACCACCCGCTGACCGATGCCCAGCCTAACCCCAAGCAGTCCGGCCCTCCTCCCCCTTTGGCCAGTTTGCTGCACTCCCAGCCTGCCCGCTGGCAGGACAGAGTGAGAAGCTGAAACACCCTTGGCTTGGTGTAAGCACTGCTCTGCAACAATTAAAACATCAGCATGTTATCAGCACTCTTCTTATCCTAAGCCAGAACATAGCATTCTACCAGCTACTAGGAAGAAACACCATCATCAATTTCTAAACAGCAATTACTAAGCTTAAATTTTCCACAGACAACTCCTTCTTGTGCTAGTAAATAATCCAAGGCTAAGCGATTTTGATACAAAGCAGTTCTCATCTTGGTATTTTGCTTTGCAATTAATCCAAGTGCATCTCTGGTTTTATTTACAATTGCTTCTATTACAGCTTGTAACCTAATTATTCTATTAAGCATATATGTTGGGGTCCTATAGCCCCAGGATCCATCTTCTGCCCACGTAGCTGGATCATAATAGGCAAACACCTTCAATCAAGGGGTTGGGCCTGCTTTCAGGGTCAATTCAGGCTTGTGTTACCGTTCAGCCTGTCGGGATGATCCAGCTCCTGGAAAACGAATCACAGTTTTATATGGGTTTAAAAAAATAGGTTCTTATGTTATTTTCTCGGGACAACCTGACCTTAGTGCAGAAGTCCAATCGAGGCCCTCTCACTCGACAGTCAATACCCATAGGGGTTGCCTCCCTCAGTAGACCATACACACCGCAGTGGAGGGTCCTGCCCCAGGTCTTGCCTTCTCCCTTTCCTCCCTTCGGGCTTGTCCCCTTTATCTGGTGCCCTTAATTCATGCAGAGCCTCGTTGCCAGAATACTAGCCCTCTTTAGCCTTAGTTTCAGTTCCCTAGGGGTGGACTCAACCCTCCAAGCTTCGGTAGTTATTGGTCCCTTTACTCTGGATGCATGGGTCCAAACCCTTTCTGCTGTTCTCGCAGCTGTTTCAGGAGTAGGTAAAACAAGGTACGGTCCCTCCCATCGGGAGTTCAATGATTCTTCCCTCCAGGTTTTTATTAAGACCTTCTCTCCTGGTCGTATCTTATGAATAGTAAATCCTAAAGGTGGTGTTTGAGCCATCATTCCAATTTTTCTTAGCTCTTGTAATCTCCTTCCAATAGTAATTACGTATTTCTGGATGATACAATCCTCAACTACATTGTTCCCTAGAGGCATCCCTTGAGAGTAAGGCATACCATATAACATTTCATATGGCGATAATCCAGTCCCACTGTGTGGTTTAGTTCTTATGTTTAAAAGTGCCAATGGTAAGCATTTCGTCCAGTGCATTTTTGTCTCTATCATTAACTTAGCCAATTGTTGTTTTATCATTTGATTCATTCTTTCTACTTTTCCTGAGCTTTGTGGGTGCCACAGAGTACGGTATTCCCACTGAATACCTAATAATTGACATAGTAATTTTATTATTTTAGAAGTAAAGTGTATGCCCTGATCAGAATCAATGTACTGGATATGCAATGTACTGGATAGCATACTACGTATGACCAAGCAAGTAACTGAAGCTTTTTCAGCTGGAATTAGCTCAAACTTTTTTTTTTTTTTTTTTTTTTTTTTTTTTGGGGGGGGGGTCCCCTCAATTTTGGGGTATCACCTCTACATTTCAGGGTTCTTCCACACAATTTGGGGGTTCCTTCCCCTAATTTGAGGCCTCGTCCCCCCAGTTTTGGGGTTACCCTCCAATTTTGGGGGTTCCCCCCAATTTTGGGGGTTCCCCCACAATTTTTGGGTCCCCCACCATCATTTTTTTTGCCTTTCCCCTTAATATTAAGGTTTGTCCTTCCCCCCTAATATTAGGCCTAACCCTAACCCCTATTAACCCAAACCCCTAACCCTAAACCTAACTGTTCCCAAGGTTTCAAGCAGTGTGAAGATTCAAAAAAACAACCAACCAACCTCTCTCCATCACAAAGTTTCTGTTTTGCTATTGTAGCATACAATTACACAGTAGTGTCCACCACATCAGCACTGCCCTACTTTGGAGCCAGAATATCCTTGTGTTTCTGTCATAAGGCTTCTGTAGTCCATTTCATTGTGCTAACACCATGCCACTGTTTGCAATTAGAGCAGCTTTTGAATGTGTTTTTATCTTTGATGACTCTCATGCCAGCAAATATTGTGCAGTAAACATGCTTTCTCAATGTCTCGTTATCTCCTGAGCAAAACTGTACTGTCAGCATCTATTCTTTATGTTTTTTCTTACTGATAGCCATTTTCAGTTTCTTTAGTAAAATTAAAACATAACACCCCATGTCACAGACTCCATGGTCCCGAACTTTGGAGCATAAGTGGCTGTAAAAAAATGCATTTCCTTTCACTTAAAAAAAAAAAAAAAAAAAAGTGACTATTAAAATAACATGTAGGTGTTCGTTTGACTACCTCCTGCACTCCCTTCATCATTTCCTGAATGAGAGATGACCTCTGAAAAGGAGCATTTTCTTCAGTTTGTTCTGCTTCAGTAATTTACAACAAACCTTTGAACAGTGAGAATCTTTATCATTTCTGGACACGTGTTTCTATAAAAGGCTTTTCCCTGACGGGCACAAAGGCTATCACAATCAGCCGTCCTGAACCATCTGGACAAAATATGAAATTTGTTGGTGTAGGTGTTTCTTTCTTCATTCTCTTCTCCCTCAGTGCCCTTTGGAATACAGGTGAGTGCCTTCAAATTTTTTTCTGCTTTAAACTACAAACTTTTTTGACTTCCGAACTTCAGATATATACTCAGTTATAAATTACTGATACCATTTGTACAAACTAAAGCAAGGGCACACAAGCTCGCACTTATCAGTACCATGTAATTTTCAACCCCTTCTTCTGTTACTTCCAGTAGGATAGTGGATCATTTTTGTAAGTAAACAGACTATCTGGAGAACACTAACTATTTTTAAAGATATATGTGAAATTTCTAGTTCCCTTTGTTGAACAAACATTTCTACTTCTGTGACAGGTAGGTGTTCTAGTAGAGAAAGAAGAAAGACCTTTATTTCTGACTACTATTCCTGTTCTCTGACCTATACTCACATATTATGCTAGCATGAAGGAGGCAGGCTGGCAGAGATGGGGAGGAGGGGAAGTTGAGGGAAGGTTTTATTGCCTTTTAATTTTCTTGCTTTCTCCACTTTACTGAAAAACAGCCTTCCCTGACGTTCCCCTGCCTTCACCCCCTCAAACACAAACAAAAAATATTTGGCATTTTCTCCTCCTTTTGACAGAAACTGTCCTCTCTGAAACTGGAAGCAACGGCACTTCAGCTCCATCAGGTGTGACCTGTTTGTTGGTCCAGCCACTACCCAGGATAACTCCCCTTTTCCAAAGAGGCAGATACACATACTGCATTCACCACATTAACACAGCCAACCACACAGACTAACACAGTCCTAGATTACCTAGGTCATCTCAGTCTGTATTACTGATATAGTAATCCAAGCAGTCTGGATTTTGCAAGATTCCACTCTTGAAAGGTCCACAATGCTCCCAACTATCTGTGCAGTTTGTCTGCCTTGGTCAACTCCTGCTGGACAGTCTCTGAAATCCGTTTCTTACAATGTTACTGTAACTTCTGTCACCTTCTCATTGCTTTATTTCTTGTGTTCATCAGTTTTTCATGTCATGTCCAGTAGTTATTTGTGGTCTGTTCACATAGACCTCATTTGAGGGCATAGTCATCTGTCCGCCTACTTAGTCATTTTAACATCTACATTGTTAAGGTTAGACTTATTTAAAATGTACAAAAGGATGACATTTCAGAAGCTTTTCATAATTTCATGTTGGAACACACTTTGTCTCTAATGTTAGCTTTTCATTCATCCAAGAGCACTAGCCTTCTGTTCTCGTTGATCCCTGTGTAGGGTTGACAACAATAGGACCCCTTTCTGGTTTGCTCAGGAACTGTTTATAGAAATAACTATGATTAATGACAGTATCTGGGAGGCTGCTCTGGAGATTTATCTTTCTACTAGTTATAAAAATACCCGTGCGGTTGGTGCATTATGTATGGTCTGGGAGGTAAATAAGTGTATTTAAGTGTATTATAAGTGTATCTAATCAAAATGAAAGGTAATCACATAATGCACAGGCGATTACTGCCATCATCTAAATACATTCTAAAATAATGTTCATCTGACATAAACAGCCTGTTTCATTTACAGTAGTTCTTTAGATGTTTAGATGTTGTTTCAGAGAACATCTAGAGGAGCTCAATGACATTCCTATGTTTTTTGTTGTTGTTTGTTTGTTTGTTTGTTTGTTTTTCTTCCTTGTCTTGTTCTTTAATAAGGTGCTCAAGACTCTTGCTCACAACAATGTGGAGAACTTCTTGGTACCTGTTCTTGCCAGGTGACGTGCCAGTCCTTGGGGATTTGCTGTCCTGATTATAATGAATTTTGTCTTCAGATTTCTCCATACTCAGGATCTCTGATGGGAGGCAAAGACATTTTGATTGAAAATACAGCTTTTAATACCTCTATGATAACGTGCAGGTGGGCCATGATTTTATATTCCTCTACCAAAGGGAGGTTACCCTTTCTAATCTCACTTTTTTGACAATAGGTAATTACCACAAAACAAGACTTGTCTATGCAAGAGTGAAAAACTTACCTTCTAGAGTTGTCAAAATTATGAAACATGCAAAGGTTCTTTTACCGGTCACCCTCAAAGATACATGTTGTCTGTATTTCTACACAGGATCATTTCCTGTAGGTCAGATTATTGTGAGATACAATCATTACTCTGTTAGTCCTTCTCTGAACATATCACAACAGTGACTTTTTTAAAAAGACTTCCTTTCAGAGCTCTTTGATGCTAGTATTTTTTTAACATTCCATTTTGAGAAACAGAAATATTAATTTGTTAAACCCTAACAAGACTCAAGCAACAAGAACAGAATGTATACAGGGCATTTTATCTTTTTCCTGTAAGACAAACCCTTGATCCTAAGCATGTAAGTCTTAGGCACACTGAATTTTACCAGCCCTAATGTCCTGGCATTCTTCCCACAGAATGTTCTGAGTCAGATTTTAGTTCTTCCAATCTACATAGCAGCACTCAAAAAGGTTTTTAGTTCTTCGTCAGGAAAATCTTTAACTTGGGTATTTGGTCTGTAAAATACAACCCTGTAATCCTGTTAATATTATAACATCACCTTTGTCTTCCTGCTATCCCTATGTTGTTTGTTACTAATTTATCATGTCCCACCCATAATTAAATAGTAAATCTAAGGCTAGCAGTTTGCTCTGTATTTTTGCAGTGCACAGCATAATCCCCACTGCTGTAACAAGCACAAAGTACACATGAGCTTTTCCAGTTTATATTCACTGCTACAAGCAAAATAGCCACGGGACTTGGAATGATCAGCACATGACACAAGGTTGCATAACGAAACATAACTGAGACATTCAGAATTCTTCTCTGAACAGGGGCTCTGAGAAATGTTTTAAATATCAACAGGTTCAAGAAGATAATCAAAACCAATGGCTTTGTTGATAAGGATGGAAAAGCCCACTGTATCTCCCCACTGCTGTATGAAACTGGTTTCATCCCCTTTGAAGTTTCTACAGATGATGGGCAGACATTTCCGTACTCTGGAACTTGGTTATCAGGTTACTAAAATCTGTGATAACACTCTTCTATCTATATTCTTGCTCCACAAATGCAAGATTACATGAGCCTTTCCCTTTTGATCACTTCTCTTCTTCCTTAATGTTTGACATCAGAAAAGTCATTCTTGCTCCTGTCATGGTGATTCTTATTTTGAGAGATGAACTTTACAGTGAGTGAGTTCTGCTGCTATTCAGCATCAGCAGTATTAAGTCAGAAAAGGTCCTGCACAAAAGTGAGGCTGACCAAAACAGTTTCCTTTTAGTAGGTATTTCTGTTAGAAAAGAATTACACCCTCATGTTGTAATCTGAGGACTATGTCACATGTTAGTAGGGGTTGTATTCTCTCACCTTCAATTTACTCTTTTTGTGTCATTCATCATGTTAGAAAACATGCACAGAAGAAATGCTGCTAAATCTTAGATACTACAGTGGCACCTTTTCATTGCTATGTGGAACAAAAATTTCATTAATTTTGTCCTTTTTATTGTCATTAATTTTGACCTTTCGTGTGTGTGTTCTGTAAACCAGTACATCACAGCAAAGTTCCGGATGAAGAAAAATGCACGTTGGTAAATGAGACAAAATGGCAATACTATGGCACCTCCAACATTGATGGAAACTTAACTCTCACCTGGACACACCAGGCACTTACAGCAACCCATATCAACATAGAAGTCTGGGGTTACCAAGAAACAGGTAAAGTGATACTTTTCGTATCTGTGCACAAGCAGTTGTCGGTTGTCAGCTTCTGTGCAGAGCTCTGTGCATCATGCTGTAACTTTCTTTGAAGATTCAAGAAGATATCTGCAAGTATAGATAACTCATGCCAGTAATGACAGCTTTTCTCTTAATTTACATATGGGTGAAAGCATCTAATTTCAATCATGTAGCTAACTATTCTTTTACGGCATCCAAAAATACTTTTTTCCTTTATGTGGCAGGTGACAGTTACTCGGAAAACTGGTTTGCCAAGTGGGAATATCTTTATACTTTGGCAAGAGAAACCCCTAATAGTGGGACATTTTCTTTCATTCCTGTACCTGCTAAAGCAACTTACAGTACTTGGGACTTTGGAATTTTGAGAATTACACCCAGCACCTATTCTGATGGGCAGAGGCAAGTACATCATAGCATTCATTTACCACAGGTACCTTATTGCTTTTGATAATTAAACTGCAGTCTCCTTTGGCTTTTAAAACCAGGATTCAGGCTCTGTTTCTCATGAGAAAAAAAAAATAGTGTATCCTCTTCAAAGATTATGCCACTTGCTTTTTAGGCATAGACCTCATCTGAAGATAAACATATGATTATGCAATTACATACATTAATCATCAAAACCTAAAAATTAATAACCAACATACTATTGAAGATATCTCATAGGAGATACCAAAGTTCATTGCTCATTTTAGGTATGTTTTCTTTATCTTCTTCTTTCTAATGGGAGTAATTTATGTGAGGCTTATTGTTGCCTTGTTGCAATTCTATTTATTTTATTTAGCTTTGGTTAGTTTTGATTTTATTTAATGCCAGTTTATTTCATATTTATTTTTGCTAACAGAAATGATTTGATTTCTATGCACTACTTGAACTATTAGCTTCCTATATTCTACTGATTGTTGTTATATTTTTTAATGACCTCATGATCACTCCTTCAAATACAGTCAAATTAAATTATCTCCACAAATCTGCTAGCAAAGACTTAGACTGCATGTTGGACTTATTCATTACTTGTCACTGATGCTAAGTAGAACTTTACAAACCATTTTCCCATTCTTTTGTACCACGTTGATTTCACATACACATTTTAGTCCTCTGAGATTGCTGCTTGATTACCTAGTTTAATGTACTTTTTTTGTTTTCAGTGTGGTGGGTTGAATCCAGCTCACGCATAATCCCCCAGTCACTCACTTCTTCCCTCCTAGGAGGATGAGAAGAGAATCAAACAGGCATAAGTGAGAAAAACTTGGGTTGAGACAGAGACAGTTTAATTATTAAAGATGGAAAAAAAAAAAAAAAAAAGAAAAAAAAAAAAGTAATGCAAAGGCAATCAACCTCACAAGCTCACAAGATCAATGCCCAGTCAGTCTCCCAGAAACTCCTGCTTTGTGACAGCCCTTCATCCTCCCCTGCCTCCAACCCCCTCCACCTCCATACCCCAAGTTTTATTGCAGAGCATGACATTCTGTAACACAGAATCTCTGGTCAGTTGGGTTAAGCTGTCCTGGCCATGTTCCTTCCCAGCCTCTTGCTAACCCCTATCCTACTCCTCTAGGGGAAGAACAAGAAAGATAAGGCCTTGATGTCATGCAAGCACTGCTCAGCTATAGCCAAAACATCAGTGTTTTACCAACACTGTTTTGTCACAAGTCTAAAACATGGCACTGTTCAGGCTACTATGAAAAAAATGGTCTCCTGGCCAAAAGCAATACACTCAGTGAACTAGGACATGCTGATTTTTGTTACAGCTGTAAAGGAGGCCTTAATTGCAAATTTTTTATTATTAAAAAGAATATTTTCCCACAGGTTCTTCTCTGCATTTATTTATATATATATATATATTTTGTATATAAACCTTTGCATTCCTACAAATGTTAAGTCCACTTCCTTTATTTTCATTAACTATTTCCATATGATATTTGGTGATAGATCTCTGCAAGTGCTTCATACATATCCTGAGCTTGGGCAGATGCTCCTTCATAATTCTTCCACGTGTCTATGGTTCTTGATATAGATAGTGTGGCCCCTGTAAATGCATGAAGTTCATGGGTTTCGGTGTTAGACCATATTACTAATACATCAGAAATTACTTCGCCATTTAGAAGCTGCTAACTACACAAGGGTTACTTTTTCTAGAGAGTTTATTATTACATTTTTGGAAACTATTCTTTTCATGTATAGTTTCATGAATGGATAGCAGAGTAGCCTTGGAACATTTTGAGGATTCTGAATGTTTCTTTCCCTATTTGTTGCTATTGGGCCTGTTAGTTCTGAGGCACAGAATTAGGTTCTGATAGAGAATCCAGATTTTCTTTGTTCTGGCCAAAAGGAAACATGATGTGAAAAGGCATGAAGAGACTATCTGTATCTAAAAAAGTTTCATGTAAGCCAGAATCACAAATGCTAAAATGTATTTCTGATTATAACATACTTGCTGCATGCTGTCATGTCACGCTTTAAATGAGGAAAATTTTGATTTACTGTAAATTTTTGCAGGAAAAAGAAAACAGTGGCCTTCATAATGAAAATCAAAACAAAACAAAACCCCCTTACAAGTTGTACAATTATACATAATTCTAGTTAGTCATTAAGACAGCATGGCTGACAAAACAGTGCTTGTTTATCTATCAAATCTATTTTTTTGGCTCTTTTTTCTGCAGCAACATTCCATCAGTCTGGAGCTCAGCGCATGCATTGGCTTGGCACCTTGGGGAAGACTTCAGAAATGACCCAATTACATGGGCAACTGCAAAATGTGTAGAATGGGACAGGAAAGAGGAGAAGCTTCCAAATTTTTTGGAAGAAATTATAGATTGCCCTTGCACCTTGTCACAGGCAAGAGCTGACACTGGAAGGTTCCATGTAAGTTATTAATCCATCACTCTGGCCTATTCTAGTTCCAAGTAGAAGTTTAGGGACTGACATACTCTTCCCCATAGCTCTGTTCCCTCTCTAAATGTCATTACAAGGAAATTAAATTATACTTAAATTTGCACAAGTAGCATGACAAATAGCAGAGGCAGATATAGTTTGTTCAGGCAGTTTAAATAACAAAAATCGCTGTTGGACAGCCAACAAAAAACACCTTTAAATGGTATTAAGACAATGCTTCCAGTGGTAGATGGAAAATGCTCAGAGAGGACAGTGAACCATGTAGAGCTGGGAGCACAGATGACTTCTTCAAGGTCCTACAAGATGGCAGTCTGTGTCTGTAGGTAATATATCCTATTCTGGAAGAAGCAGCTATGTTTCTACCTAGTATATCATAACTTGCTGTAAATCTTTCCATCTTACATTTTGGAGCTAAAGTCCACAGCTATAAACCATTATTTCCTGTCTCCTTCCTTCCTCCTTCTCAACTTGACTGTTAACAAAGGACTGATAAAAGCCAAGAAATCAGTTGCTGTTTAATTTATGCTTTCAGACCTACAGTACTGTGCTGAAGACCAAATAGGGTAACTTTCTCACCTGTATACAATACCAATGATGGCAGTGTGCTTATGCATATTAAAATACATATGTTAGGTATTTTTAGTTGCTATAATTTCCTGGTTATTAAACTCCAAACATGACATGTATTTTAGATCATACACAAAAAAGCACATGAAGAAAAAAGAATAGATACACTGCACTGCCACTGTCTAAAAGCGTAAGACATAAGATAATCACTGTGGCATATTCTGTGTTTGTCAGAATTATAGTTGAGTCCTCCATTTAGCTCCATCTGTTCTTCAAGGTCTGTTGTAATAGACTGCAAAATGCTGAAGTTAGACTAACATGTTGATCCAATCACTTCAGTACTAAATTCACTGTTTTTCCTATAATTCTGTGATACTCAGCACACAGCTGCAACCAGTTTGTTTAGACTTTACATATAACTGAGAAATAAAGGGTTGGGAGAGGACCTAAAATAGGAAGGACAAAATGAAAGCTTCATTAAGCAGAACACTGTTCTTTTTCAGACAGATTATGGCTGTGACATTGAAAAAGGGAGCGTGTGTACTTATCACCCTGGTGCTGTGCACTGTGTAAGAGCCATTCAAGCCAGGTAAAGAAAAAAAAATGAAACTGCATTTTTTTTTAATGATTTATTCTGTCTCAGAGATAGCAGTGTCACAGAAGTCACAGAGGTGTTTGGACTCTCAGCTCTCAGGTTCATAACAATCACTGTTTCCCTCTTATTAGTCTTCATTGCTGAGATTAAGTTATGGCCTTAGATTTACTAAGCAATTAATTACACTGTGCTGGACGTCAGGATACCTAAACAAGCACTGCTGCCAAAAAATTTGGTTAGACTTAATTAAGCCTTTTTTATATGGGTCTACTTTAGTTCAACAAGTTATTCTTTGCACTTGTTCTATCAGAACAATTGTAAACAGTACCGTGCTTGTGTGGCTGAAAGTTCCTACAGAACTTTCTGCCTTGGTTAAAGTTCCCACCCTCATAATCCCTGATCTGGTCTATTTTATAAGAGCTGGGAAGGAAAAAAAAAAATTACTGATGTATCACTTCTGGATGTCACATAGAGTAACCAAAACATTTAGCCACATCCATAAAAAGACAATAGGTAACCTGTAAGCACAAATAGACTTTGCAGAGCTGAAAGATGACTTTTTTCTCTCTCAATTTCTCAACCAGTCCTGTGTATGCAGCAGGCCAGCAGTGTTGCTATGACTCCACAGGGGCCCAAATCCTCACACAAGATTCCACAAGTGGCAGCACACCTGATCGAGGCCATGACTGGGGTTCACCACCTTTCATGAAGCCTCCCCGGATACCTGGCTTTTCCCATTGGCTTTACGATGTCATCAGCTTCTACTATTGCTGTCTGTGGTCTGATAATTGTCATTTCTATATGAAAAACCGTCCCTCCAGTGACTGCAGGACATATCACCCGCCTCAAGCTGGTAAGACCTTTAGAATTCCATTATGGATTATAGATTTTTTATACAATTTTGTCTTTTAGAATGTTTGTGTATGTGTGTTGTATCAGTTAAGAATGCGGAGGGCACAATATCCTGTAGAAAATTTCCATGGAAGGTTTCAATTGATCTGTCAGTGGCAAAATCTGTGTTTTTTAGCTGTCCTGCAAAATGTTCAGCTTGAGTATCTCGTTAACCCCTGGAACTTAAATAGCTGAGGTTTTGTAGTCAATGTCTATGGCTTCCTACCATCAGTGAGCTCTTCCTCAAAAATAAGTTAGGGATGGTTAATGACAGCTTAGCAGTAGCTAGAAAAAACTGTAATGCTGAAAAATGCTACTCATATCAAACATGGAAAGTTCTAGCATTTATTAGTGTGTCTATTTTTCCTCCCCATTGCTTTTAGGAAGTATCCTTTGAGTCTTGCCATGGCTATATTGCTGCCACATGTCTTGCTTTCTTCTGTGTTGCTGGTGTGCTGTGGTATCTGGTAGGATTGTGTCCTCTCTTAAAGAAGGAAAGAAAGAACAAGGACTCTGTGGTCTGCTTCAAGCAAAGAGGAGAAAATTGCAGAGGGCACTGAAGGAAGTAGCTAAGACATGACGTGACACAACATGAATTTCTCCCAAGACTAGCAATAGTGGATAGTGAAAGTCTCTTCTGATAGTCCCCCATGAAATTTTCCTGTCTGGAAGCAACAAAGGATGGCTTGTCCTTAAGGAATATGGAGCTGTGAGACAAGCGTGATAACAAAGCTGGCAGGGCAGGGTCCTTGCCAGTCTGGGGTCCAGTCCAGCTGTACCCAAGCAAGGTGAGCAGGGTGGACACAAGGAAGGCAGCAGACATCAGCTGAGGAAACAGATCTCTATAGAAGCTTGTGGTGTCAGGACAGGTCCAAAGTTAAGCTGAGAAATCTCTGCCAGAGGGTCCAATATCCAGTCCAGAGATTGTTGGGCAAGTCTATAGTAATAAGACATATCTGAGGACAAGCCAGAAAGTCACTTTGCAGTCTGGGTCCAGATCAACAGGGTTCATGGCCAGGCACAGGCATGGCTGTGTTGGAGATGGAGACAGGTACACCTGCCTATGAGGTAGCGCAGTCAGGGTCTCAGGGTCCAGACTGATAGAAGCACTGATAGCAAAATACTCACCAACCAAGCAGTTAAGGACCTACCTGTCATATGGGTGTCCTTACACAGAGATTCATACCTCAGACAGGAAGGAACAACTTTATCATTTTTTGCTCTGGGTGATAGGGACCTTCCAACCTCTTTACTATTGTGGTAGGCAAAACCAAGGGTATCTGCTGAATGCTGTAGAGGCTTTGGGGCTGAGGATCACAGTCATTTCTCTCTGTTCTGGCCAGATGAGACCCATTCCATTTCTCCTATTGTCACTCTCAGCTATGTATGAAAGCTTCCTTCCCTGGTGAGCTGCATCTGGAATAGTCCTGCATTTGTGTCTAAGTCCTCCTCTACATTGTGTGGGAATTAGGCTTCTAACTTGAGAGTGAGGATTGTGGTAGGGAGTCCACCAGGTAAACATTGTTCCAGATAAAAGTATTTTAAACTGCAGTTCTAAGTGTTGGCTGATGAAGACGAGTAACTGGAACGACAACTGCTGTTCCTACAGTGCTGTTCAAGGTATGTTACAGCACTGCTCGAGTCACATTTACATGGATCAGGCTTGTGTTTATTCCTTTGTTTAAATACCGGTCTTTGGATCACCGCAATGGCTCTTTTTTTTTTTTTTTTCCCCTCATATGAGCCTAAGAAAAGGAGTAATAGATTGCAGTCTTTGCTTGTTCTTATGTCTCTTTTTGCTTTTAAAAAACAGCATCTGCCTTTGGGGATCCCCACTTCTTCACATTTGATGGTCTGAACTTCACTTTTAAAGGACAAGGGGAATACACATTGGTAGAATCTGATCTCACATCCCTAAGGGTGCAAGGAAGGACCCAGCAGGCACACTTTCCCAATGGTAAGTTGGTAAGAGGGAAAGCAGTGATGACAAATAATAGCTTCTGAGGATGTTTGATTTTCTCTTTACAGCATTCCTCCGGGCTTTCCTAGTCTTCTTTTTCCTCTAAACATTTCCCAAACTATGACTACTGTCTCTCTGGGCTGTAACAGTGTTCTTTCTCCATTCCCAGACAGATTAACACCTTACACTGATGTTCTTATGAGTGGAAACAACTTTTTTTTTGTCAATGTACATTTGTGTGTTCTGGCATTCTGCTGCATTATTGTATAAATATGGACATTTCATTGTAAAATAACTGACAAAATAATGCGTTAGTTGCACCATGTTTAAATATGTATTTTAAAATGTAGTTGTGAAACACAGCGTGTCCTCATAGGCATTCAGAGTAGGGGCAGTATTATCAGTTTAACTCTGTATTTATTGACTCAAGACAGAAAGTAAAAACACAGGAAATCAGTAGTTAAAAGAGAGCTGATTATAAGTCAAACATTAAAATCTTCCAAAAGCATATTTCCTGCTGTAAATAAACAGATGAATCCTGGATCAATCACAGATTTCAAACTGAAGTCAGTAATGCAGAGAACAAATTCAAGCATTTCTTCAAGAAATTTGAAGAATTTCTTCAAGATTCTTCTGTAATGATTACGAGATGCTGATATATCTTAGGCAAGTCAATAAGAGCAAGCTGAAAATAATCACCTGTGAGATAATGTAAATAATTCCAGAACTAAGTAAGAAATAATTTGTTGGATAATGGTTACTGATGAGTTGCAGAAGTTACTATTAGGATCTATTTTATGTAGTATAATATGACACGTTAAAGAGAGGTGCTTAGGCATGACATGGTAATTCTGGTGTGATCTGAAGGAAAGGAGGCCTCTGAGAAATACTGACGTGCAAATGAAGCAGTCATCTTCATCAGTTGGAGCAGTCATCTCTTTTTGGCCCAACCCATATGCATGCAAGGAAATTAAAATAAATTTTTTGGTATGCAAGTGCAAAAGTACTTTAGAAGTATATAACAATACAGAAAAAATAAACACTTCTCTGAGCTTTTCAGAAAGTCTTTTTAGATACCCCAAACTCACAGAAAAGTTCAGAATGTCTGATGAGAAGTTGCTTAAGGGTGTCATTCCGTTTTGTTTTTGTTGTTTCCAAAGGTCCTGTTCTTTTGGCTTATTTGTAAAACAAAACCTAGGGCAGAGGAAACTGTCTGGAGGTACCTTTGTCACTTGAATGGGTAGCTTGCAAAGGAGCCTGTAAGAAGGAGATGGTCTTTTACCTGCATTTTGAAAGTAGGGAAGAATAGGGCATGGAATGGGAGAATGCTGTCCTGCTTCTCAGGACAATCTGAAAAGCTTCATATCAGATACTTTGATTTATGCTGTTCCTGGATCTAATGGTACAGAAGGAGATCAACTGGTCTTCTTACGTATCTCTGCCACCACCATTGGGATTAAGAATTTAGAATCGCCAGACCCTTTTTTAGCAGTAAACATTCTGCTTTCAATATACTATGTTAGCAGGAGACTTATACTGTGGGCTTCAGTGCAATATGATTTATATGTTTAGCAATTTCCTGAAATATAAATAATCATATTTAATTACTTTTAGGAAATGTCTGTTTGTTTTCTTATTGTTTTACTGTCTGTATCTGTAAACATTCTATATTTATTTTATATGATGTGAGGTATCTTGAGGGATTGGTATTTTTTGTTCGGAAGGAACGGAAGCTCAGGTGACAGGCTTGTCTGCAGTGGCCATGCAGGAGAACAACTCTGATGTGATTGAAGTACGCTACTCAGAGGATTTGAATCTGGAGGTACTCTTGAACCAAAAGGTGGTCAACTTCTCTGAGCAAAGTTGGATGGACCTGAAAGGTTAGTTACAAATATCAGCTTTGAAACATATTTTATTCCTGTGAAATACCTGTATAATTAAAAACATCTCTAAATGCATGTATTTTGATTCTATTTTCGGTGTACTTTTGAGAAACAGAATACAGGTCACTCCAAAAATAAAGTGTGAAATAAAACAAAGGGCAAGCGATATCCCAGATAATTAAATCTTATTTTATTATTATCATCTGCCTTTCTTCAGTTTAGTTGCTGCCAGATTGAGGCAGAATCAGTGGTAATGCACAATTTGCATGGGCCTTGGTGAACAAAATGGAGAGCATAGGGAAGAATGTGATTTCCATCCAATCTGCCTTGCTGGCCCTATTTTTATACTAACCCAGTGCATGGATTCCTCTTGCCTTTGAGACTGATTACAGCTAGGCTCTGGACAGGAATATAAATGCCAGAATTATGGGCTACAATTCTCCTTCCTAAAAGCATGCTACAGAGAAGCATAATGTGGCTAAGTTCCCATGGAGAGATGTAGCAGCAAAAACATCAGATCCTGAGACCTTCCTGCTTCTCACCAGCATTTCTAGCAGTGACACCAACTGCTGGAACTTCAGCACTGACTGGGAAGAGGCAGAGTTGTCAGATTTCTCAGTAGTCTGGACTGGCATGTTCTTTTCTCTCAGAATGTACAAATAACATAAATGACAGCCTTTACCAACACATGGTGCCTTCCTGAACTTTCTGGGATGTGTAGTATATGAAGGGAATGCATACAATCCTGGCGATGATACTGAGATATTTAACAGATGGCTTCAATGCCAACTTCTTCCATGTCATCTTTCAGTGGTTTGTGGAGCAATTGTTTTCCTCCTCATTCCATGGAGGATGAATAGAATTAAAAACTCTTTACTCGTTCTGCTTTGAGCCTAGTGTATTTAATGCAAAGAAACCTACCAATCAAAATGAACGATAGTGAAATACAACCAACGTATACTAAAATATAGATGAATTTCACAATCACACATCAGGAGCTCTCTGGGTTGGTCAGATGTTACCCCTCTATTCTTCTGCCTGAAAAGACTATGAAAAGTTGTTTTTTGTTTTTTTTTTCCTCCAGGGGTGTGATCATTTGATTACACATTATAAAAAATTTAACAGTGAACCTTCTGCTCAGCAGAGGAATTTTTCTGTGGCTATCACATATTATTCCCCAAATGGATGGAAAACATAAGGAAGAGCAGAGGGAAGGAAAAAAATGGGACAGTGATGGAACTTGGATAAAGAGCTGTAATAGGGAAGTTTTGACAAGATGATCAAGAAGCAGAGGAAACCTGTGACCAATGAGAGCAGTGTTTCCAGCTCACAGCAACTCTGTGATGTAATTGTCTCATACCCTAAAGTTTCTGCTCTGGGACACTGTCAGAAGAACATGCAACTTATATCAAACGTGGGCCTTTTTTTGCTACTGCTCTGTAGTAGCCATCTTAACACATTTGTAGGTGTATGTGTTGCTCCTGCCTCGGCAAATTTTTAGGGCTGAATTCCTCTTGTCTTCCAAAAACAGATGGTATGGAGGTGTGACCTCCTTTTAAATGCTTCTCAGAATGTAGCCCAGAGAGGAAGGAGGGAAATGCTTTATAAAAAATGTTTAAAACTGATGACACATCAACCTGTTCACTTTAGATGATTAGTTGTTTTGTCCTCTTCCTCTCATCGTTTTAGGTCTCTTTCTCCATTCTACATCTGATCAGAAGATTACAGTGATGTTCTCTTCTGGGTCTGGAGTAGAGATAAGGGGAAGTGGAGGATTCTTGACCCTGACAGTTTTGCTCCCAGATAAGTTTATGAATCACACGCAGGGTCTCTTTGGAGTGATGAATGGTAATACAGAAGATGAGTATACCTTTAAGAATAAAACAACCATATCAGTTCATGCAAGTCCTCAGCAGTTGTTTGAATTTGGAGCTAATTGTAAGTGATTTCTCTGGTCTATTATTACATTTGTTTTTATAAATTCAAAGCCATTTCTGATTTACAGATCAGAAAATTGTCTGTGCTAAGCAACCTATTCGGGGGGGGGGGGGGGGGGGGTGAAGAGAGAGAAGTGAGTGAGAGAAGTATGTTCTTCCTTACCCAAGTGGGTAACATATTGAGCCAAAATGGATGAAGACAGAACCATGATGAAGATCTCTGCACTTTGTTCCATCAACAGTGAGAGCTCATATTTCACCGCTTACACTTTCAGAATTCCATCTACAATGGTCAGTGGAACATGACATCCTGAGATTGAAGTGTTACAAAAATCCAACAATAGTCAGGGTCAGCTACCTTTTTCCAGAATATTACTAATGTTTCCATTAAGTATCTGACAGTTTTAAAAATCAAGTATTAAAATAAAAATTAACAATTGCCCTAACAATTTTCTTTAAAAAGGCAAGGGGTGTGAAAGAATATTTGCTTTCATTCAGTGAAAGTGATTCAGCTGCTATATCTAGCCTGAAGCACTAGATTGGTCTGTGTTCCTTCTCATGTCAGGTTAGAAGACGGATCAGAAGAAACAAGGTACAAAATACCCTCTGGCTACCATTTGCTCTCTGTGTCAAGCACAGTGTAGCTGTATGCCATCATTGAGATGATACTCAAAAGTTTCACTGCTCTTACTTCAGGAATTTTCCAGTTCCTCTGAATGAAAATATAAAACAGTGCCATGGCAGCAACAATACATTTAGGGATACACAGGATCAGGATTTGTGTTGCTTGTAACATTTGGTCTAGCTAGCTCTGTCTGAGGTACTTTTTATCATCAGTTTTCCAGCAGACATCTGAATTTGTCATTACATAAAGTTGTAGCTAAACATTTATTTGGATCCAGTTTTAACAAATCGATCAAAGACTAACTCTAGTATGAGATTAAGATACTGCATGTAAAAAGGAAAATAATCTTGAACTGTCAGGAAGAGGTACTAGATATGACTTCATGGATCTGTTCCAGCTGTAGATACATTTAAGTAAATAAACACCTAGGTTAGTAAGTAGCAGGAGGTGATATAGGTCTGTAAGCAATGTTACCTATGAATCTCTCTTGTTTTCTGTCTCCCAAGGGGCCGTTGAAAATGGAACTTCTCTCTTTACTTATGACACAGAGTTCTTATTGAACAATTTCTTTTACGGGGAAAAGCACAATACTTCTTTTCTGCCAGTGTTCTTTCCTTATGAAGACCCTGCTGATCCCTTGGTGAAAGAGATGGTCTTGGTCTGTGACTCTGACCCATTCTGCAGATTCGATGTCCTGACAACAAGAAGTCTTCAAGTGGGAAATTTCACAAGATTATCTCATCAGAATCACAAGCAGTTGGTAGAAAATCTAAAGCCGGGTGAGACAGCATTAAACGAACTATTCCTTTCTGCAAGGCATCTAAATAGTTAAGACCACGTGATGAGGCTTTGCTCAACTGCAGGTTCATGCATCTATGAACACATTTATCAGGTGTAAACATCCTTGTACCAGAAGAATTTTAACACGTAGGTTACTTAGACAAACACAAAATACATTTTTTTCCATTTCTTTCACTACTGAACCACTGTGTAGAAGAACTCTTCATTTTCTGTGACTTCACCTTGGAATTAAAAATAAATACATCTGAAACTATTTTTTTAGCCTAGAAATCTTTGTCTTCCTTTGGGTTGCCACTCAAATGCCATTTGAATAATTGTAATTGAGATTTGCTAGTGCAAACACTGAATACTTGAATCTGATTTTTTTTTTTTTTTTTACTAGTGATTTCTTGTGGCTGGCTGGATCATCCAACCAATGGAAGAAAAAATGGAACAAACTACCTGCTGGGCTCAACCATCCATTTCACCTGCAATCAGGGCTATGAACTCACTGGATCAAAAGAAATAATCTGTCAAGTGACAGGAGCCTGGTCTGGAGACATACCTAATTGTATCCTGAGAACAGGTCTGCTTCCTTTTAAATGTTACAAGTTTTCATCAGAAATCATTTTCATTAACCAGGCGATCTCAGTATACAATGTTGGCCCTTGACAAAAGCAACTTCTTTTATTTGGGAAGACATTGGACATGAGATTCCGTAGCTTCTAAAAAGACTAATATTTAAATCTAAATAATAGTTTTGCTTTTTTATTATTATTATTTTTAATCTACTCATTCTTAGGACTTGGGGCTATATGCTTCTGTTTCTCCAGTTGTGGCCTAAAGGAACTGTTCCTCAAGTGGCCAGTCTAAAATAATTTACAAACTCAGTCTTAGAAAATGGGAAAGCATAATCACTTAGCTAAAATTATTCCATAACATAGAAATACATAGGCTATAAAATGAATCCTTATTTATAGCATTATTTTAATGTATTTTTCTTCTGTAAATGTGTTTTTAGTAGTTTTGAAAATATGTAATTTCAAAATTACAGAGATTATTGAAATCGTCTAGTATCAACATAATTTGAACTGCTTTTCAAGAACAAATGATGGTACAGCTCCCAAGCATTTATTGTCATCCTTGGTTCTGCCATTGCTAATTTAATTTTAACTTTCTTTGCAACTGGGGCAAATGTAGATCCAGTCTAAGCCATCTGGGGGGTGGGTTACAATTTCACACATTATAAAATGAGCCTTTAAGAGAAACTTTGCAGAATAGGACCTGGGGATCTTGATGGATGCAAGCTGAGTATGAGCCAGCAGTGTGTCCTTGCAGCAAAGAAGGCTAATGGTATCCTGGGCTGCATTAGGCAAAGTATTGCCAGATGGTTTGAGATAGTTGATTGTTCCCCTCTACTCAGCAGTGGTGAGGCCATGCCTGGAGTGCTGGGGACAGTTCTGGGTTCCCCAGTACAAGAGACATGGATGTACTGGAGAGAGTCCAGTGAAGTGCCACAAAGATGATGAAAGGACTGGAGTATCTCTCCTCTGTGGAGAAGCTGAGAGAGGTGGAATTCCTCTACCTGGACAAGAGAAGGCTCAAGGGGGGAATCTCATCAATGTCTATAAATACATGAAGGGAAGGTGCAAAGAGAATGGCCCAAAGGTCTTTTAATTGGTGCCCAGTGCCAGGACAAGAAGCAATGGGAACAAATTGAAACAAAGGAGGTGCCTTCTGGCATCAGGAAACACTTTTTTTGCTGTCATGGTGACAGAGCTCTGGCAGAGGTTGCCCATAAAACCTGTAGAGTCTCTGTTGTTGGAGACATCCAGAAGCTGTCTATGTATAGCACTGGGCAAATGGCTCTAGGTGATCCTGCTTGAGTGAAGGGACTGGGCAAGATAACCTCCAGAGACCCCTTCCAACCTCATTCTGTGAAATTCGTTACTGAACAGCCTGTGATAACAGAGGGCAGAGAGCAGACATAGAATCCTTTACTCTCCCTAGGCTTCCCTTTCAACACATGTTGAAAGCTTCCACTCTTTATGGTTCCAAAGGACTATGCTATTTCAATGCAAAATGTATTATTCTTTAACAGTAAATTCATTGTGAATCATGTAGTATAATATTTGTTATAAACAAAAATTCATTACCCCTCTTGTGTCAGTATTATTAGATTATCAATTAGCCTGGAATTTTTAGACTTAGTACCAGTTCGTCTGTCTCTATAATTTTCAGAAAATTGACTCATATTTCCTAAGTTTCAGCTTCGATCTGTTCCTGCACTATGCATACTCCAAACATCCTCAAGATGGCAGTGTTTCAAAGCACCACTGTGATGCAAGACCATACATCATGTTGAAACACTTTTAATGATGAGTTAATTATTCCTGAAAGTACTCATCAGATAAATCCTATCAATGGATTCTCCATTCTGATCACCTTCCAAAAATCTGGAAAGTGCACAATACATCAGCAGTGAATTCTTGGCCAGCAGAAACTTTTATTCTGCTTTTGAAGGCCTGTACCAGTTGCTTATTTCCGACACAATGTCTCATATTTAGTGTTATTAGTGAGATGATCCACAAATGAGTTTGAGCAACAGACTGCGGACTTTAGCATACAAAATAATCATTGAACATTTGCACAGAACAACTGTAAAATATACAGTGTTACTAAATTTTAAATAGATGAGTGAACATTTTTGGATTTTTTTTTGGGGGGGGGACCAGCTAGTGATAGTAATCAGTACACAACTGATTCTATTCACAAAAGCCAATCTCAGTATTGAAGCTATTTTGTAAAGAGTGAAACTAGAAGTATTTCAAAACATTTATGTTTAATATGATAGACCAGAGTATACAGAGTACTTTAGTTAACTGTTGAAAATATGTGAGAAATTTAGCAGATAATTTAGCAGATAATTTAGCATGCTTCATAGTTCACAGTAATAATAGATCATTTGTCAAAAGACTAAGGAGATTGAAATCTTTACAAAGTAAAGTCAGATCTTAGAGTCAGTGGCAGAATATTTTGCCAAGCTGAAAGCTAAGAACATTTTTACATTGCTGCCATCAACTGCATACATACTGGTTAGGAGCCAGTCAGTCTCAATAAGCAAACTGGATGATAACATTTATACTAGAATAAAAGGGACAAAAAGCCAGCCTTGAGAGATCAGAGCAAAAGAGCTGAAAGATACACAGAAATTAACAGCATTCAGAATGAGGGAGATATGCCACTGGCAGATAAAAAACTGAATGTTTTCCAGCACATGGGTTCCTTAGAGAAGGCATACAACAACAAGGTGTAAAATTATTTTTATCCAATTGTAAAAACAGCATTCCTTACTATTTGATATTTGGGGTTGTAGTTCATTTGTAGAGTGAGCCAAAAATGATAATTTTTGTCAGCCTCAGGAAACTGGAGTATGGCAATACTGCCCATAGCAGCAGGATACCATAATCAAGACAATATAACATTTCATATATAGTTCTTCACTCAGTTTTTCTTATACAGTTCTTCACTCCGTTTTTGTATCTGCTGTGCCCCAATAATGGCATTCTTATCTAGCCTGGTTCCTCCACTTGTATCAGAATATATGCTACTGGATATCAGTATCCGTATGAGAAGATTATTTTTTGACAGGTCCAAGTCAGAGAATGCAGGTAAAACAGTCCAAAATTCCTCACTTATATCTAAACCTCTAGTATTTTTATAGCATGGATATCTAGTACTTTCTTTCTGCTAAATACATTTCAGCCTCCAGTCTAAGACAGCTGAAATTCAGTGCCAGTTTTCCTTGTGCTGATTCTGGATTCAGCATAATTAACAAAAAATATTTTCATGGTGTTACAAACAATTATTACTTATGCTAACTTTCCTTATTGTTTTCCCCTTTACATAGCAACATGCTGCTGTTTTGCCAACACCCATTTTATTAATCTCTTTGATAGAAGGCCTTTATTAATGCCAAGAAAATTCTGGTAAAATTAATGGTCAGTGCTTCCAAATTTCTGGGCGCCTGAATGGGTGACCACTGACCTAGCCACTATGATTAGTGGTCAGATTTTTACTTGCAACATGAACTGTTAAAACAGTGTTTTTTAAAATAATGACTTCCTTCAAGCTGGTCAAGAACACAGGACACAGGCCTCTATTATTTTCAGGGGGTACTTCTTTTCAGTGCTGTGCTCATTACACTTGCTGCAGTTTTGTGGCACATCAAATTCAGTCTCTCTACTACAAATCCTAGGGACTTTTAGCTACATGCATTTATTTTTCAAAAGCTAGAAAAATTACATTGAAGGAAGGCTTGAGAACTCTGAAAACTGGATAGGGAGAAAAAAAAAAAAAAAAAAAAAAAAAAAGAAAGAAAGAAAACTGAACATCAGTTACTTTGCAAAATCCATTTCTGTATTACAAAAAAAAAAAAATTATGCTTTTAGGCCTGCATATTGTTACTTTTGAGTTTTGCTTCCTTGAATTAAAGTTTCCATGGAAACCCTCTGCTAATAATTATTTCTGCTATGCTTTTAATTACAATTCCGCTGCAAGGCTTGCAAGTACCTCAGCAACCTCTCTTCATAGAATATCACATAGAGGGAGAAAACAAAACCATCCAGCAAAAGCAGAAGGGAGACTCTAGCAAAATGCAGGTTAAAAAAAAATGTAAAATCTTAGCAATATGTATACATGTATATTTTGTTTGTGATATTTGGTGGTAAATGCAATCTGTTTTCCTCTTTCATTTTTGCACTCCATATTTTTGGCTTTAATTTTCCAGGCTCTGTACAAATGCACTTCTTTTGGGAAAGATGACAAAAATCTCATTAATTTTCTGCACTTTTTTTTTTTTTTTTTTTTTTTTTCAGATGAGGGTGCAGAAGAACATTAGGTTTTCTGATTATGGAATTATCTGTCTGTCATTTCCAGGAGACTGGCTGCAAAACACTCTATAATCAAGAAAAAGAACCTGAGACTAACAACTGAATACAAATATTTCACTATAAAGACAGGTTACCGCTGAGCCAAACAAACAAGGCCAATTGTGGGTTTTCATCACTTGACAAAGATAGGGTACCTGTCAGTAAGGTGTATGTAAGCCAGACAGAAGTTTTGGGGCCTTGTAAGAGAAGTTAGTAAATGAAGGTCTGAGGCCTGTGAAACAGTTTGTGTATCCTAGTTCCTTCCTTAAACTTCGGTATAAACCAATTTATACATGTAAGTTAAATTATTTATTCTAGAGTTGCAGAAAAGTAAGTTTTATTATTTTGCCATCACAGTATGCTAAGCAGTTTAGGCAGTTTTTCCTGCAGGCATAACAAAGCTATGGAAGTGCTGGCAAAAAGAAAAAACTCGTGCACCACTTCTCACCTATTTCTAAACAGAATGCATGCTCCCTTACATATGCTTATAATGCTGCTAACAGGCACACAAATAGGGCAGAGCCTTGAATCTACTTTGACCTTAGGACACTCTAGTGTCTCAGAGACATGGGACTATACTTCTCTTTGGCCTTCTCCCATTGAGCCTTGGACAAGATTTCCTCACACCAGGACTTGCAGTTTTTCAGATGTGGCATTTCCCTTAAAGGATACAATATTCAAGAAGTATTGTTTCTCTTCTGCTCTCTTCTGCATAGAGCATTAAACAACAGGTGCAGTTTCAAAATTTCAATGTCAAAATAGGGGCAATTTTTAAAGCAATCAAATTGGGAAAAGGATTGAAAAACTGTCAGTTGTTGGGTTTGGCAGTTCATGTCAGCTGCATATTAGCCACTAACTATTCCTTCTTTGTGTTAGAACAGCTGTCACAGCCACCTGCCCTAACTGTCAAATGTAGGAATTATGTGAGTTCCATTGCTCACTCTGTATTGGTTTGTTTCTTGAACACGATGAACAGTAAAATATGAATGCTATGTATACAATTTTTTAAAAATGTCACACACATTTACACTGAAGCAAATTGATATGAAGACAAATAACATCTTCCTCTTTTGTTGTGGTTGCTGTCTTTTTTCAGATATCAAACAAGTAATTCTTCTTGGTTGTGTATTTGGTATTGTCGGTCTTGCAGTCCTGGCACGTCTAACTTTCCTGTGTAGAAAGGAGAGGTAAGAACTCAACTGAACTTAAAACAAAAACTAACCTGCTAAAGAAATAGGAAGTGCTGTGACCTTTTAATCTGTTTACTCAATGACAAAGAAATCAGACAGGACATTTTCCTACTACTATCTTTTATTGAAAACATCAAGTCTCAATAGTCCTTGTGTCCTGCTGACAGACTACGAAGGAAAGTTGGAAGTTTATTAATAAGGCAATCAAACATGATTGATTGATTGATTGATTGAGACCGAACAGTATTTTTGGTCAAAATAATCTACTTGAATAGTAAGGCTATCTAATGAAAAGTGTTCTGTTTCAGAGAAGGTGTGCTGATAATACCAACCGGTAAATTGCATTTATTATTTAAGGAATGCATTGCATGATGCTGTAACTTACCACACATCCTTGAACATATTCCCTCTTCTAGGCATGCATAAATTTGCCTTGAGAATGTTTATATCTCTTGTGCCAAAGAGGTGAATAGAATTTAAAGAATATATCAGTTTGCTACCCATTCTTGGAACATTCCTACCAAACAGAAATACACTCACTATATAAATTATTACTTCATAAAATTAATCTCTACAAAATGTTGTGGGGCTAGTAAATACTTTGATGTTTTAGTCCTATGTTTTAAAAGATTGTTATTTCATATATTCTGTATATAATTCATTGTTAGCCAGCATTAACACTTTAAAAAATGTTTTGCTTTGTGGCTTTCCAGCAGGTTCATCACTGCAGAGACCCTTGAAACAGAACACACTATTATAGCTATGTCTGTCACTGAAAATACAGCCCATCGATTCTGTGCTTAGTGATCAATTAACTGTGTGTATCAGAGGGCCAGAATCACTACTAAATTTTCCCCTGTCCTGTTAAATCACGTAAGCATTGTTTTCAGTGCTTCACAGAGAACACTCAGACCAAAAATGTTTTTTCTTCCTTCTTTGTACAAAAACAAACAAAAAGGCTACTCAACACAAGGTAGATAACTGCAGATGCTGATGGTTTTTGCATACAAATAAAAATGCACAGACAAAGGACACCTCCTAAATTTGCCGTATCTTACATGTACTAGATTCCCATGTATATAGCTGACTGGCATAGAGTACTACTATTACAGCTGTATAGAATTCTCACATTTGGGAGCAGCTTACAGAATTGCTACCCTAAACTCATTGTATATAAATTAAAAATAAATAAATAAATCAGGTCTAAGCTCTTATATATTTTGGAATCTGTAAGTAATTGGCTACCAAAAGTTTATAGTTTCTGAACATTCTGAGAATATTTAATAAAGTCCATAGCACTCAGTGGGGTGTATGGTTGGATAGCAACAGATAATGTAGTCCTCTGTATAACTGTAACAAAATTTGGACAGATAAATCTTAATTAGGCAAGGCAAGGATTAGAACATCAAGTCAATCATCAGCAAACCATCACTATTCTATAATTTCATCGCATGTTGCTCAAACAGAAGAGATGCTACATCTCCTTCAGTCATTACTTCTGGTAATTTAAATATTTTGAATCTTCAGCAGTATATAACATGGGAGAGACATTATTCCTTGCACAGAAATTACACTGAACTGATACTTTAAAAATTGTTTCAATGTTACTATTCCACCTAATCTAGTATTACTCTCACCTTCATCTAAGCAAAAATGTTTCAGTAACTGCTTTAACAGTCATCTTTAGCATTTAAAAAAAAATATTTTATTTTTACTTTATTTTTCTTTTTTCCCAAGACATGAAGGCAACAAGAAGCTTGTTTCAGAGGTTCCAGTAACATCTCAACAAGAAAGAACAAAATTTCAGAGAAGTTTTTAATGAAATATGGAGAAAGCATAGCAGAGGAATAAATTGTCCACAGCGACAAAGATGGAAACAGTGGTTTTACATAGTATATTATAATTTAATTTTTGCTTTCAATATAATGACTGTTCAATTGCATGGGAAATGCTAACCACCTTTCAGGGGTTTTATCATGTCAGGCTCATCCTACTATGTTTCAAAAGCCAAGGACAATGCTCCTGAAAGAATCGAAGTTATATGCGTTAGTTTCTTCCATCTCTGCCAGCAGAACCAGAGTTTTGACAAAATCAGAAGAATTTGTGATTCTCTGTACTTCTCTTCTTTTAGTCTTTCACTTGAAAGCTGGTGAAATGAAAATAATCCTACCATATAAAGCTAGCCTTTATCAGAGAGACATACACCTTCTCTGGGGTCATGTAAAGCTCATGTAGAAAGATGTGAAAGTGGATGTAGTCAGATGGACTATTTTGCAAGTCAGGTTGAATTTGCAGATTGTTGGCTTTATGGTTTTTGTTTGTTTGCTTGTTTTAAGTAGGGAGGTAGAGAAACTAAAGATACTTAAACGTGGCATTCTTATATTTTGGAAAGTCACTTAGTACATGCTCTGAGTGGCATTTTTGTTTCATTACTGACCTAATTTTAAAAGGATGCAATTGAAGGGAAGGAGAGGAAGTACCCAGCTCACTGGGTCTGTTTTTTGAAAGTCTTTAATTCATAAATAACTGAGAATTCATGGTGCTGTCAAAAGGCAAGGACAAACTACATACAGGGGGACTAAATGAGTGAAAAACTACAGATTTTACATTATAATGGGATCAAGACAAATTGAAAGAAATGCTTCAGGCTGTGTATTTATAAGTATAAAATTATTAATTACTTATTAGCTGCTGTTGCCATTGTTGTTATCTGTGAACACAGACCACAAGCAGAAAGTTACACAATGCAGATAAGTGATCTTGAATACAGTAAGTTGGAATACAAACAGGAAATTAGAAAAAAATGCTGTAGAAAGAGGAGAGGAGAGGAGAGGAGAGGAGAGGAGAGGAGAGGAGAGGAGAGGAGAGGAGAGGAGAGGAGAGGAGAGGAGAGGAGAGGAGAGGAGAGGAGAGGAGAGGAGAGGAGAGGAGAGGAGAGGAGAGGAGAGGAGAGGAGAGGAGAGGAGAGGAGAGGAGAGGAGAGGAGAGGAGAGGAGAGGAGAGGAGAGGAGAGGAGAGGAGAAGGAAGAGAGAGAGGGAGAGGGGAAGGAAGAGAGAGAGAGAGAGAGAGAGAAAGAGAGGAAAAGAAAGACTGGCAAATGTTCCTAAGTAACAAACTAGCTGGCTGCTGCCACTGTGCTACAGATTAAAAACAAATTATTGCAACTGATGTACACCCACATACCAACCATGTGTATAAATGGTTGGTGGAGAATGTGGGGTGCAGAATGAAAAAAGGTGGTTTTTGCCTAGGAGTGCTGGAAGACTGAAGTGGGCTCTTGGAGGTATATGAAGTTGATTGTGTGAACTTCATAATCAATAAAGTGTTAAAAATGTGTAAGCCTTCTTTGTTCCAGCAACCTTAAGGAATGGGATGCCAGATAAAATGAAGTCGAAACTGGGTGACTGGGTTATACAGTGAGGTCTCAGCCCTTGGAGAAGAAAATTTTGTTAGTCATTAAATCACAAAGAAGCAATGTTTCATATACCATTAGACAGCATGTACCACAAGGTAGTGCTGCATGCAAAAACAGATTTGTAAATGAATGACACTTCATGTCAGTAACAGACTGGGATGGGAATATATGAAATAAATTGGAGTCTGGACATACTCCTGAAAAAAATGTATGTTAATTTCAGAACGCAATTAATTTATATGAATCAGAATTATCTGGTTTAGCCCACCATAAACAAAGCAGTGGTAAAAACAGTGTGCCCCAGCTGTTCCTTCTGGTTAGCCTTGGAAACACTTCCATCACAGCAATCCCTAATTCGTTTGCTGAGATATATATATATATATGTACGTATCTGCACATACTTACATATCCAGACCCATACGTTCAGTAGTAACAAAATAACATATGCTCCCAGAGGACTTGTCCAGCCATAGTTCAGAATCAAGAATTTCAGCAGAATGCTTGAGCCAAGTAACTGAACATACATATATATATTGTATTCATAAGGAGGAACTAAATATTTCAGCATTCACTATTGAAAGACAAACACCAGAAAAAGCTTAACATTATCTAGCAGGACACTGCTACTGTTTTTCATTATTTCATAAGCTTAAAAAGTTCTACGTTGAGTAGGAATTTGGTTCAAAGAAATAAGAATATGACATCATTATGCTGTGATATTAAACCATACATGTAAATCTAATGCTGGCATGACATCTTTTCTTTTTTCTTTTCTTTTCTTTTCTTTTCTTTTCTTTTCTTTTCTTTTCTTTTCTTTTCTTTTCTTTTCTTTCTTTTCTTTTCTTTTCTTTCTTTTCTTTTCTTTTCTTTTCTTTTCTTTTCTTTTCTTTTCTTTTCTTTTCTTTTCTTTTCTTTTCTTTTCTTTTCTTTTCATTTTTTTTAATATATCTCACAGCAACCAGAATAGATTATTAGCATATTTTTCACCTCAAAAACATTACAGCTGTATATGATGGGATGTTTCTGCATACTAAAAGTGAGATGTACCATAGCATGTACTGATGTAACAGCTAAAGCATAAAACCCATATTTGGTTGGTTCCTCTTTCAGAGCAGTAAAATGGGTCTACAGGGACATGGGTCTATGGGTACAAGGAAACTGTAAGAACAAGAATGTTTGCTCTCTTTCTATTCCTGACAAAGCAAGTGTAACTTTTCTGTTTTAAGGGGTGTGTTTTGTTTTGTTTTGAATTTATTTTCCTTATTGGTATTTGTTGTCTGTTGCTACATTTTTTTGTTTGTTTGTTTGTTTAGGTGGTTAGTTTTAGCAATGGAGCACTGGCATTGCTGAAAATTCAAGCAGGTCAGTTAAGAAACCTTTGCAGAAGTCTAAAATATAGCTTCATAGTGTTCCATTTTGACAAAGAAACACCTTTGCTGCCCTCACGTAGAATAAAAAATAACAAACAAACACCGCTAGCCCTGCATTTGTATTCACCATTTTCAAATAGCTACACTGAGCTTCTTCCTTCGGCTCAGTGTTCTGTTCCGTGTTCACTGTGGTGTCTCGTCTCCCTGTCCGCGTGTACGCATGCGTTTGTGCATCTGTTTGTCTCTGCGTATCTCTGTGTGCGTGTGTTCGTGCGTGTGTGTTCGCGTGTTCCTGGCCGTATGCATCTTCGCGAGTCCCCGCGTCCGTGTCCGTGCCGCGTCTCCGGGCCACGCAAGGAGCTGCGGTCCGCCTGCAGTCCTTCCTCCCCGCGCCTTCTGTGCACGGGCCGCACCAATACAGTTTCACCGTCCCGTCCTCTCCGTTGGGCGGGACGAGCCGTTCTGCAACATCAGAGCGACTCTCCCGCATCGCACCGCGCGGAGCTGCTACCTCACCGCCCTCCTAGACGCTCACGGAGCACAGGGCCCTGCCGCGCGCCCTCGCGGTCTCACCGTGCCCCCGCAGAGCCACCGTGCGAGACCGGCGTTCTTTCTCCTCCCCGCGCCCTTCACCGAAGGGAAGAGGGACGCGGCATCTGCATGCTCCCATCTGCTGGCAGGCAGTCCGCAGGGGACCCCAGACTAGCAGAGGCCGAGCGCGGGGCCGGAACAGTGGCCGGCCGTAGCCAGAGCCCTCGGCTGGGCGGGGCTGACGGGCTGTGCCGCGTATCTTCCGTGGCCACAGTCGGGGGACTGTCTGCGAGAGGCCAGAGTGGGATGCCGAGGGAGATACACGGCTCGCTGGGCGGTGCCGGGGCTGGTGCCGGGGCTGGCCCCGCCGCTGCCTCGCTGGTGGACGGGCGGCTCTGCCCGCGAGGAGAGCTCCGCGGAGCCCCTGTGCTGGCATCCGGAGCGAGCACCAGCAGCCCAAACCCGTCGGTGTCAGACGTAAAGGCAGCAGTTCCGCGATCCTCCGATGCAGCAGGACCAGCAGGTTGGGATGTTGGTTTCTTATCCTTTCCTGTCACATGGCTGGTAATAGGATCCCTCATCTGCCACTCGGCACCTCGCTGGGGCGCAGTTACAGGACACATGCAGTAGGGCCTCCGCTTCCCGCACTTTGCGCTCTTCCCGGCCGTCCGCAACCATCTCTGCCCCGGGAGCGCTGCAGCTGCCGCCTGCCAGCGCGGCGCGGCCCGGCGGCCCCTTGCCATGGAGCCCCCCGCCCTCGCCGCCGTTCTGGCCTTCTCAGGGCTGGCGCTGAGCTGCTGCCGCGAGCCCGTTCTCTCCGGTGAGTGACGCTTAGCGCGGAACGGGGAAGGGGAGTGCGTCTGGGGCTGCTCCACGGTCTTCTCGCGGGGCTGAGTGGCGAGAGAGCTGCCCGGTCTGCTCCCGAACTCTGCAGACTTGCAGCTGGCACGCAGCCCGCCGCGGCAGGGCTCTGCCGCCCGGCAGCACCTCCTGGAGTTCGCGACGACATCCTTTCCGGCTCACCAGCCCGGTGCACGGCTCGAGGCTGCTCGTACAAAGATGTATTTTCGTGCGCTGTTTGTAGTGCGTCGGTATTTGTGGATCTCACTATGCTCGCAGAGATGGGAGTCTGGAACACTGTATGAAAGCGTATGCAGCACATTTCTCTAACGAAGTGGTTTGGTGGCTAGGCCTGCAGGACAGAGGTATCTGCAGGGAGAGAGGACTGCAGGACGTGGGTACACTTACTCACTGGGAAATTAAATAATTAGTGGCAGCAGGGCAGAATTGGGGCCACGGAGCCAGGGCTTGGATGGTGGCCATCTCACCTCTATGTAGTAACATGCTGCATCTGCTCCCTGCCAGTCACAAACATCTCTCATTCAGTCAAGCAATCTGTGAAGCCTGAATCTTCGTGGTTAGTGAGTTCTTCATTGATTTTTCACTTAAAATTCTCTGCACCATTTTGTTCTCACTTCAGTTGGTACTGATCATTTCAGGTACCACTCTGGTAAACACTAGTCCTGCTTTGCAAGATTTAGCATGGCTGTTCTGGATGGTCACAGTGCCACAGCCATCATATGCATGGGCCTCCTGGATATGTTTTGCATATTCTAACCCTTGTTGTTATTACTATTTTTATATAAATATTTAATATGTATTTTGCTCCTTTAGCCATGTACAGATATTTTCTCATTTTGAAGTTTTTGTAGGTGCACTTAATTAGATTTGGGAAAGATTTACATCAATTTTATTTCTTCCTTTCTTTCTTTTTTTTTTTTTTTAATATCAGAAAGAGAACTGAAAATGTAAACTTTACAACATCTCAGAAGAGAACAGCCTAGACAAGGATATATACCTAGACCATGTCTAGTGGTCTGTTCCCAGTACAATCAGGCCATGCATGTTGCACAGAGAAGGTAATCCTTCATTTACTTGAGTAGGAGTATGTCGTCTTTTAAGGTTTCTGAGCTGAACTGTAAACAGAACATATTGCACAGGTGGTTGTATTCTTCACAGCAGGCTGCACATGAGCAAGTAGAGGATATATCCCTGTACAAATGTTTGGTTCATAGGCAATTTAGAGGAGTCTGTTTATGCAACTGCACTTCCATGCTTTAGCCAACCTCTAACTGCATGTATTCACAGCCACTAAAGGTAACAGAGGTGCTTGAGCACAAGCAACTGTCAGGGGAAAAAATGAATGTTACACTGGGTGAACTGGTAGCAAAGGATAATGGATCTAGGAAGCACAGCCACCTACCTGTCTTCTGCTAATGAACCTGAAAACAGTGCACATCTGCTCTTCAATAATGACCTCTAATTGGTATGGCATGAACAATATGGCGCGTACAAAATCTGCAGAGTTGTTAATCTGTGCAAACCATACCTCAGAATCTTTTTCCTCACCCTTAATCCCACAGGACTGAAATGGGATCAGTTGGATCAAGTTGCATTCAAAACTAGCAGAATTCTCAAATAACAAATGTTAATGTTTCTTTTGTAAGGCAGTTTGTCATATAGTGTGTTTTTAAGGCCTGTTCTTTTATTTATTTATTTGTTTGTTTTTATTGAATGCATGTCTTCATACATTTATTGTAAAAGATGCATACAAAATACAGACTGCATCACACCATCATTTCCTAAGACAGGGAGAATCTTTAATTTCTGGAATTGCAATATGAAAAATGGCTTGTATTGACCACAATGAGTTAACTATCATTTTTTGCATATAGTACTGAGCTACTTTTCACAGTGTTTGTGCTTCACTGTGTGATGTCTAACAGTTTCTATTAGTTCAAATTATGAAATTTGCAGCATTCAAACTTCAGAAGCACCACATTTGTCAAGTGAATCAGAAATTAGAGACGGGTAATGGATTGCCTAACATTAAAGGATTGTCTGAATTTGGTGATAGTCGTATTACAAAGACAAAGAAATTGAAGTCTGTGTCACGTTAGTTTCATTGAACAAATATTATTCTACATACTCAGTGCAATATGTTGTCACTTTTAGTTTCTGTATTTATATTGTTCACTTAATTTCCCAATCAGAAATGTATATGATTGTCAGTCTTCTCTTCTTTTCTCTGTTATCTTCCTTTCTCTGTCATCTTCCTGTTTAGCAATAGTGGATCACTATGTCCTTGTCCTTCCCAGCTGAGTCTGTCCTTTTAAACTGCTGTTTCAGTCTTGTCTTACAAACCTCGTATCTCTTGTGATTTTTATCTGTCTATGTCTCACTGATACAGTTAAACAGTTCCACTTGATATGCCTGGAGCAGTTGTCATGTAAATATCCAAAAAATATTTCTAACCAGACGGATACAAAGTGAAATAGTTAGTCCAGATACTTCAGCATATCATGCTTGTACATGCATAGAGTGTAACTCAAAGCCCACAGTTATGTGAATGGATTTCAGTAGGGTGGATCCAAAGAAGTGGGAAGAAGGCAGTGATTTCATGCTGCCAGCTGCAAAATTTGCATTCTTTGTCATATCACACCATAGTGGTTGTGCAATTTACCACTCCCTCCATCCGCACAGTGGTTATAGCCCATGCTGGTAAAATTTCTGGAGGGATTCAATCTGCCATGCTTGACAGTGGAACAACAGTTTTAAAACTTCACAAAGAAAACAAATGCGTGTATTAAGGAACAGAAATTCCTCTGGGGCTACATCATACATTCTAACTTCCAGTGATAAAGAATCACAAGTCAAGCAAGTGTGTTTATATTATCTTGCTGCTGAGAACCAGCCAACAGCTACAAAGTTGTGACTAATATAGCATGTTTGTATTGTACAAATCAAAAAATAAAATAAAATAAAATAAAATAAAATAAAAGATAAAAAAGAATAAAAGAACATGTGCAAAATACATACTTTTAAGCATTAGAAGTAATGAGCTGCTCATGCTCATATCCTAATTTGCTTGCTCCAACTGGCCATTCAGATAGCATATTTTCAGATTTTTAAAAAAAAAAAAAAAAAAAAAAAAGACAAGTGTGATGAAAAAGTGCTTAGATTGAAGGTTAGTAATCCAATTTTCCCAAGAATAGCAAGCTCGCTTATAACAACTCATTCACTGCCAGGGAGCACAAGCATGGAATTGCATATCTGTACATTCCCAGTCTCATATTTACTGTGCAGATGGATACTTAAGAAAAGGTTTGATTAAATGTCAGATGAGTGTTCACTGTAACTACTGTCTGCTTTGGACCGATGCTAAAAAAGATTGTTTTATTGCAGTTGAAGACCTCAAAAGGTTATTGGTATATGTCTGTGTGGCTAAGTAGCTTGAGAGAGATTTTTAAACTATGTACAGAATGATCCTATACTGCATAGAAGAAATTTTCAGCTGAGTGCTCTTGTAGCATCATAGCAGACTTATAGTAGCTGACTGAACAAATGAGGAGTTATTTTCTAGCAATTTTGAAAATCGCAATTTTAAACAAAGATCATTTCTTCCTGTGTTTTTTCTGTAGTTCATGTCTGCTGTTTTTTATTTGTTTGTTTGTTTGTTTCCCCTGTTACAGTATATTTATCCTAGTCTGGTAGATTTTATAAGGATTTTTTTATTTTTTTTTTTACATTTGTATTAATTTTAATAGCAAAGTATTGAAATCTAAAAATAGTACACTAATTTTTCAGCTGGGGAGGTATAAAACAGTTTTATACAACCCAGATTCATTTATTTTACATCATAACATAATATAGAATAAGATTTTTCAGACCAATCATTCATATGAAAATATTCAAATGAACATTTGTTTAAATTGATAAAACTGCATTTCAGAGAAGACCATTGCACTCCTAAAAATATTTTTAATAATGACCACAGAAGCCATATTTGTCTCTTTGATCTCCTGAAGCTTCTTCTGGTTTTAATCAGTGTTCCCACATGAAGAACTGTGGCAACCTATGATAATAGAATCTCTACTCACATATCCATAAGGAAACAAAAATGCTCTCATCAGAGGAAGGTAATTTGGGTGTTCTGCCCTTTCCATCTGTGGGCCCCTGCCTCTGTTACTGCAGGGGTATCTTGGCATCAGTTAAGTGGTTTCTGTCCTTTCCTCTGTGCATTGCTTTCTCATTGAAGTGTTTCTGCTGTCTAATTATACCCTTTCAATCAAATTAGAGAGTGCAGCATCTGGTTAGTGCCTGTAACTGTTGCCATCTGCACCTAGATAGAGTGCTTTCATTTAAGGAGGAGTGCTCAAATTGCAGATTCCCACAAGAACTAGGAGAACAGTTTGGTAGAACGGAAATGTCCTAAAACTCTTCTTAAACCACTATTAAAACAAATGCATCAAGCAACTGATACCTAGTCATTATCAGGCCTGGCACCTTTGGTTCCATATTCTTATCCATGTAAATTATAGGTATCTTTATTTCTTGCTCAAGCCTCCCAGAACATTCAAAGTGGCTATCACGCCACTGTAATGAGACCTAATACTTAAATAGCAGCCATTTTAATTTACCTTTCGTTATTCTTTTTTCTGCAGATTATTAAAATAAAACCTT